CTTTGTAGCCCAGGCTGGTCTTGAACTCGCAACGATCCTCCTGCCTCAGCCTCCCGAGTGCTGGGATTTACAGGGGTGCGCCACCATGCCTGGCCCTACTGTTTTGTTTTTGAAATGGGCTCTTGCTGTGTTACGGGGGCTGGCCTTGAACTCCTGAGGTCAAACAACCCTCCTACCTCAACTTCCCAGGTAACTAAGACTGTAGTACACAATGCTGTGCCCACATCCTACCCTGGTTTGGGCTAGGATCCAAGTGTGAAGAATGAGTCTAGAGCGTTTAACTCTAGTACCCCTGGAATAACCCTTTGCCCTCTGTGCATGACCACAGCTGGGGACTCCTAGGGTATAGATACAACCTCACCAGAACCTTTCCATTTATTAGGGAACCTGGAGCTCCAATCTACACATTAGCACCAGAAAAATGCGTCTCTCGGCCTTAGGAAGGCCCAGCTCCTGGCCTTGACTTTGCTGGCTATAGTTCTTTGTGGGAGCAGGGTGAGCTGCATAGCACTTCCTGCCTCCTGGGAGGAGAAGGGAGTGTGGTTCTAATAATGCAATCCTGCCCCGTCCTCTGACTCCCTGCCTGTTTTGCCGCTGCTGCACTCAGAGGCATTGGGGAAGCCAAGGGGCCTTCTCTGCTGCTGGTTGCAGGGGCCGTGCAGATCTCACCCTCATTTTTTAGGATGCTTTCAGGGCCTCAGGCCCATAAACGGCCCCTTCCCACTCCACGGGGCCTCAGATGTGGGGGGTACTGGCCACAGGGATGCTGCTCCGTGATCTACTGCGGCAGCTGCCGGGTGGCCTGGGGCTCCAGATCCTCCTCAATAATCAGCTTTGTGAGTCACAAGCAGCAGCTGCCCGACTGCCCAGGACTCACTGGGAAAGACAAGGACTGGATTAGATGGGAAGCAGTTAATGGAAAATGAACAGGGAGGGTGAGGGGAGCTAGACTGCGACAGATGGAGGGGACACAAAGCTATCTGTGTCCCCTACACTCCCTGACCCAAGGCCTCATGTTCAGGCCAGCTCAGAAAGGGCTGGGGAGCCGGACATGGTAGCACATGTCTGTAATTCGGGAGCTCTGAGAGGCTGAGGCAGGAGGATCACAAATTTAATTCTGACTTTAGCAATCTATCAAGACTCTGTTTCTAAATAAATAAAGGGTGGCTAGGAATGTAGTTCAGTGCAAAGGTCAAAATGCTGGGGACCTGAGCCTCTGGGGTAGGCCACTGATGTATGAATTCTCTGGCTGGGTGGGTTCTCTCAGGACAGCCCTTGCAGGGCCTGAACTCCCTTTACTGTCCCTGTCCTCAGAGCACCCATTTTCCTTACAGAATGCGCACCTACCCAGACAGGAGGCCCCTATTTCAACACCACCATCGAATCTAGCACATTAGAAGTTCCATAGGCTGAGAGCCCAAACCCCTTGTAGAGAAGTGCTGTGACCCAGAGGCTCAAGATGTGACCGTAAACCACTAAATACCCTCCTGGACTTCACTCTAGAACCTGCTGCTGGGTGATAAAAGACCAAGGTATAAACAGTGCTGCTAGTGAGCCATAATGGCTTGAGATTAGTCCAGATGCTCTCTCCAGTGCCTAGGGGCTCACAGGTGAGGCCGAATCCCAAACCCAGGGGCAAACGGAACACATCAGCGCATGCCCAGACCCCTCCCCCTGCCAGGAGAGCAGGCTCCGGGATGCACACAACTGCCCTCCTCGGGCTGGCCAGGAGCCACTCTAATGACACAATTAGTCACCCACTTGTCAAGCAAAGAGCCTGCTCAGAGGGGGTCTGGCAGAAAGAAAAATGCCTCTGAGCCCACTGCCCTCCCTTCCCCTGCAGACTTCTCTCCAGTGTTAACCACGGTGCCCAGCAAAAGTCAGAATGGGCATCTGTGAGCACTCCAACCCTGTCCTTGCTGCCCTCCCCACTACACAAAGGCTCTCGGGGAAAGACCAAAGTATTACAGGCTGACTGGAGACCCCAGGTGGTGGCCTGTGCTAGCCAAGGGGATGCAGTCCTGGGACCATGGGCAGAGGGGTTGCCGGTCTGAAGAGATGAGTGGGAACGAGCACAGGGCTGGGAAGGGATGTCCTGTAGTGCCAGGTCCTAGCTGGTGGCCAGCACCAGAGTGGCCTCAGGCAGAGGTGGAGAAGGCCATCCTGGGGGTGTCTGAAGCTCCGAGCTGCATCCCTGAGGGTGGGATGGGGGCATGCTACGGCCCACCTGCAGCCTGAAGAGCCTAACCACGGGCTGACAGACCACCAGACAGGCTTTGGTGATAGCAACCAGGCGTATGGTTTAGTACCTGGGTGCAGGCAGGCAGACAGCAATAAGGCCAGAAACAAAGAGAAGTGGGCCCCTTTTATAGGGATAGAAACAAGGCAGGCGATGTTAGGCAGGAAGATTTTAATGAACATCTGTGGTCAGAGTTCTCTGGCTGTCTTGCACCTGAGTGGGCAGGGTCCTTGAAGGTTGGTCCAAATTTTCGGGACATCTCCAGATGTCCCCAGGACCTGCAAAACTCCTGTCCTATCTTATCTCCTTCACGACATCCAGTGCTCCCCAAGACTACTTTGTTGTTGAACGGAGTTCCCCGCTATGAACTGTACCTCCTCTGGCAAGTGGGTTGGGGGCTGGGAGAGTCAGGTCAGACTGGAACCTTACAAAAAGGACAATAAAAACGACTGCAATGGTCAGGTTCGGCCCTGTGGGCCTCGAAAAATGCCACATCGACTCTGGAATGTGGGTTTCAAGTTGGCCTAAAAAAGAGGCAGCTTTCCCCCCCATGTCCCCGAAGTACTCTATTTCCAACATCCAGACAACTCATACTGCGGGTATCAAAAGAAGCCACGTGCGTGTGGATTTGGGAACCGGTGGGCGCGAGGGATGAGAGCGGGGAGTGAAGCGAAATCCCAGGCGATCGATCCATCGAGGCCTGGGAGCAGAGAGCGGCCCCACCCGAGCCGACCCAGCCAGGGCGGCTCCCAGAGCCCAGGGGCGGAGGAGCGGAGGAAGGAAACAAGCAAACTCCAGGCACTCGTCACTCGGCCGCACTTTCTGGGGGAGGATGGCGAGTCTGAGGGCTGAGACTGCACGCCCCGAAAAGTCGCTTCCCTTCCTGGGGGCGGCCGGGCCCGGAGGCTCGCGGGGGTCGGGTCGGGCAAGGACAGGAGGGGCGCGGGCCCCCGGGGAGGGGAGGGCCCCGTGCGTACCTGCCTGGCCTCGGCCGTCAGCTCCTCTGCCTCTGCCGGCGCCGCAGCGGGCTCCCCGGGCTCCTCCGGGCCCTCGGGTTCTCCGGGTCCTGCGGGCTCCGGGGCGCAGGAGCTGGGCGGCACGGGGGTCCCGGTGGCCTCGGCCGGGGGCGAGGCCTCCCGGACCTCCCCGCGCCGCAGCAGCAGCCAGGCGAGCAGCAGCGCTAGCACCGTGACCAGCGCAGGGAGCGCGGCCAGCAGCTCGGCCGGCGCCTCCATCGCGCCCTGCCGCCAAGAGCCGCAGGCTTGCCGGGACCCCTAGGGAGCCCACCAAGCCCCGCCCTGGGGCGGAGCCTGCGCCTTGCCCCGCCCCCGGGCAGGAGGGGGCGGGACTTGGATGGAGCGCCGACCCCTCATCCTAGGGGGGCGCAGCAGCTCAGGCCCTGACCTGGCTGGGTGGCATGATGCTTTGGGGCACAATTTAATCTGATTATCTGAGCTCAAGCTCGGTTTGCGAACCGCTGAGAGGTTCTCATTTCTCAGACGCCCTCCGAGTATCATCTCCCGGAACCGCTTCAGTCCTGCCCAGTTCACCTTGGAGCGTTCTCCAAGTATAGGAGTTGGGTAAGGCCGGAGGGCAGGAAGGGCCCTGGAAACTGCGCCCCCGATTGCTTTGTAAAACAACCTATACCCCTCGGGAAGCCTCACTGCCTCCCGCCAGGGCTGTTTATGGGCGGGTCAACTGCTGTTATCCCTCGGCGCGGACCTAATGAGCGCAGACCTCTCAGAGGGAGGTGGGGACAGTCTGGCCTCAAGATCTCTCCCAGGCGGAAGCCGGCAGCCTTCCACACTGGGCTTCCTGTGACAAGGCTGCCTCCCGAAGACTGGAATTCAGCGCCAGGGCGCGGAGGGTCATTTTTTCCTGCTGGTTTTCTCTGCACACTTCTGGAATATGTGCGGGGTGGGAGCGCAAGACAAGTGAAAGGAAGGCTACTGTTTGTTTCTCCAAAACCTTCCAGGGCTCTGCTGCTGAACAGTGTTGTTACAAATATACTGAAATCAAATACTTCCCTGCCATTCATCACCCCACCCTCGGCAGTTCATCAGGTACCATGCCCAAAACAAGGCCTCATGTCAAAAGCAGGGTTTCAGCTGAGCAAGATGGCACACGCCTATAGTTCCAGCTATTAGGAAGGCTGAGGCAGGACAGTTCCTTGATCCCAGACATTTTGAGTCCAGCCTGGGCAACGTAGTCAGACACTCAAAATAAAGAAAAAAGCCAAAAGCAAGGTTCCAGTTTTTGTTTGTGTGCATGTAGTAATTTCTTGGGATATAAACTGAGATGCTAGGTGGGGTGCTTCGATATATCTTTGGCTGCTACATGAGGTCTGGTTATGCCAGGCTCCCCTCCAACAGGGAAGAGCTTCATCTGCTGCATCTCATGGCTGTGGGGAAGATGCACTTACTTTTAGTGGTTGATGAGGAAGGTGTGATGGTACACGCCTATAGTCCCAGCACTTGGGAAGCTGAGGTAAGACGACTGCTGTGAACTTGAGGTCAGTCTAGCAACATGAATTCAAGCCTAGAACAGGCAGTGAGAGCCTGTCTCAAACAAGGGGAACGGGCTTTGTCCCGAGGCTGCTGCTGGCTTTGGACCACTGTGGGAATTCTGGCCAAACTGGGTCTTATTTCAGTCCCTTTTCCTCACTGCTGTAAGGTATAGTTTTAAGAGGTCTTGTTCTGCTGAGGAACTGCATTCTGTTGATTTTCTATTGAAATAGACACAGCAATAAAGAAAACACAACCCCAAATCCAGTTGCTTTATTTAAAATGAACAAGTTTCATCTAAGTGAAAGTTAAAAAACACCAACCCAATGGCAGACCCCACAGGCATTTCGCGGCAGACACTACAGCACGGGGGACACAGAACCGAGGCTGCCCGGTGTTCTGTTCAACAGCTACAGGAGCCAAGTTCTGTGGTGTCTCTTACCATGGAGACAAGCAGGGCAGGGCTGGTTCCTGGGGGAGGTGGGGGGCACAGGGCACCTTGGCGATTCCAATTTTTCATCTAACAATGAGACAAATCTGAGAGTCACCAGATTTGTATATTGAATTTATATATTCAACTTGTTTGCTATATTCATCTAGTTTTGCTGAAAACAATGTAACAACAACAGGACATCTTGACAAAAGCCAGGAGAGAGAAGCCTGACTTGCCCCAAACCCACTGACCACACATCCTAGCCGTCTGGGGAAAGCTACACACAACTACAGACCCTACAGCTGCATCCTCACATGCTTCTTTCTAGACAGCACTTCTACAACACTGACAGACTCTGGCTCCATCCCATTCTCGTGTCTGAAGTCCTAGGTTCAAGGCCGGGTTCTGGATTTGTACAGCACACTGGCAACTTGTTGTGAGCTTTCACTTGAGGGCCTCCAGCAGCTACTCTACGAAGACACTGTGTTCGGATCCAGCATGCTGGTGTAGGGTTAGCCAGGCCTCTTCATGAGGAACTAGTCCCTTGTGTGTAGTGACGGCTGCATTTGCTTTTCTGGCTGTGGAAGTGCATACTCTTGTCTCCTCCCCTTATGAACGACTGTAGTCACTGCCCAGCAAGCTCAAGATCAGGAACCTGGGCTTGTCCCTGTTGTACCTTCTGCACCAAAAACAATCCTGGCACTCACCTTTTTTTTGAGACAGGGTCTTGCTGTGTAGTTCAGACTGACCTTGAACTGCGTATGTAGCCCAGGCTGGTCTCGAACCTGTGGCAATCGCCTGCCTCAGCCTCCCAAGCACTGGGATTACACACCACCACACCCGGCTGGCACTAGAACTTTTGCTGGATGCTTGAGTTATTAAGCAGTGGGTAGTGCAAGAATAAAATGCAACTGTGAGAGATGTTCCTGCTGTGAGGGTTCTCCCTCCAAGAGCCTGGCCTCAGATCCCTAGACGATGACAATTCTGAAGCCCCCTGTGCAGGTACACTGGATGCTCCTGGCCTGATGGGAGCTGCATTTCCAGAGGCCTAGAGCCCTCTAGATACCCTGGGTCCTGCTCACATCGCTCCTCCCCAGCATTCTAATACCCCTTTTCCAACACACAGCTCTTTGAAGATTGGCAGCAATCCTAGAGAATAATCCCTGGAGATGGGCTCGTGTTGCATCCTTCTCTTTCTTCCTGCTGACTTGATTCGAAGGAGGAGCACGGACCAGGTGGGAGGGAAGAAGGGAGCTCTGGAACACCTGTGCCCAGGCTCCCCCACCTCGCTCTGCTTCCACAATGGAGTGTTGAGTCCTTGGCCCGGTTAGAACAAATAAGGTACCCCACAATTATTTATGGAGTGGCATGAGCATCACAGAATCTGCTGTCCAACACAGTCAGGAGAGAGGACTGTGGCCTGGTCCCTCATTCCTGCTGTTGTCTAGCAACCAGGAGTCACTTCCAGCATCTGAAGAACTGGGAAGCTGAATTTTCAGTTTCAAATTTCTGCTCCACCACCCAGACCACTGGCAACATGTCCCACTGCGCCTCCTGGTGGCAAAGAGCCTCTCTTTTGGCTGAAGTTTAAGGGGAAGTGGGATAGCTCAGTAACAAGAGGGAGGGGGCAGTGTCTGAAGATGGCAAGAAGTCTTCAACAGCTGGAGGAGTAGCTGTGCAGGGTGGTGCACTCCTCTAATCCACCTACTCAAGAGGCTGAGGCAAGTTCCAGGCCAGCCAGAGCACGTGCTGAGTTCTTGTCTTAAAACAAAAGGGCTGGGGATGTAGTCCAGCGGTACAGCGCTTGGCTGCCGTGCACAAGGCTCTGGGTCCCATCCCTAGTATTTGAAGGGGGAAAAAAACCCAAAACAAAAACACAAACAGGAGGAACATCTTCAGTATTATTAAAGAGCTCCAACTTTGAGGATGTGACCCACTCACAGACAAGCACATCCTGGCCCTCCAGGGACCAGGGCAGCTGCTGCTGAGGGACAGAAAGCTGCACCTGACAGCAAACTGCAACCTTTGAGAGAAAGGTTTCCCCAGCCCAGTCACATGCCAGTCTGGGCTTTCAGGATGCAGAAAGCTGAACTGAGAGAAAACAGGACCTGCCTCCTACAGCAAAGGTGTACGACCCAGACTCAGGGAATGACAATCTATTTTCCTTGAATTTAGGGACAGATTAAGGCAAGCAGGTGAATCTAGAGGGCAAGACAGCACATCTGCCGGTCAGTCCCCAAGTTTTCCACCAGAGCACCCACGGATCCCAAAGACTAGAAGCACCACCCGTCCATCACCCCCTCCTGCATGTAACACCAGCTGCCTACTTGATGTGTGCAGGTCAAGCAAGTATGGGACACTCATAATGAAGGCCCTTACAGAGCTGGGAAGAATGGGCTGGTGGAACGCGGCCTGTTTATAACTTAAGTTCTGAGATAAAAGCACACTAAGCACCTTTCTCACTCTGTGAGCAAACAGGTGTCACCCCTGCCCCAAAATGCACCACACAGAACACCCCTGAAATTTCAGTCTCTGAGTGTGAAGACAGATGAAGACTGCTAAGATAGTACTGAGTAGTGTGCGATGGCGCCAGGCACAGCTGGCACACAGCTAGTTTCTGCCTCTGCAGGCATCCTTGCCATGGTGCCAGCCACGGGGGCAGCGCACACTCACAGTGCTTCTTCCACATGGCTGCTGCCCTCACAGACCTGAGTGCACTCGCCACACCCAGGGTCTCTGCTTGTGCAGCCACTCTTCCTTACCAACAGCAGGGAGGGAACAGATAGAGTGAGATGCAGAAGGGGTCACACCCCTCCAGCCTCAGGATCCACCCATGTGGTTTGCACAAAGCGACACAGAACTTTCTTACCCAACATCATGGGAGCTTCAGTATTTCACTGAGCTGGCCGAGTTTTTAAACTTCTTGGTAATCTAGTCTTAGCAAGCAGTAAAACCAGCATCTGACCGAAGACAGGAGCTTGGACCAGAGAAGGAAGATCCACATTCAAAGAAGACAAAGAAGTAGGAGCAGAAGACGTGAGAACTGGGTGTTGGGTGGCTGCCAACAGCTCACACAGAGCCACCTCAGGGAGTCTCCTTATTTGCTCAGGGATGAGCCCGGCCTCCACATGTGTCCCTAATCCTGCCAAGGAAAGTACAACCACCTGTCATCAGCATGTAGACAGCACAGCTGGCCACGGCGCTGGACGGCAGTATTAACGGCATAGCCCTGGGCACCCGTGCTGACGTGACGGTAGGGCTCTCTACAAACCTTTCCTACAAATCACAAAGTCACACATCAGGGACAGGTGCAAGCATTTAACAGAAACAACTCCGAGGCAAGAGAAGAAACCTAAGCAGGGCTCTGAAAGGACAACTGGGGCTGAGAAGTACCCATTCTAGCCTCATCAGCTTCTTCACAGGAGATCCTGCCTTTCTCCATGCAATTCCAGCTGGATCACACAGGACGCGTACAAGGTGACAGAAAGGAACGTGGGAATGGAACTTGCACTGCTCTTTATAAGAACCTAACAGGAACGTCACATATAGCAGTCCAGACTTCAGACACAGAACAGTATGGACTTCAGCATTTTACTGTCTTTCCCCCAGCCTCACCTCTGAAAAAGGTTCTCTGGGACTGCAAGACCCCAAAGGCACATGGCAGGGACAACCTTCACCATGTGCATGTCACATGCTGCACAGGGCAGAGTCTGGCAGATAGATGCTCTACTGCTTCTGAAGGTGAGGTATAGCTAATTTAGATCCAATGTTGCATAAGAAGCAAACAAAATTTCAAGACATGCTTGGGATACTGTAAGAAAAGTCAGGCATGATGGCCCATGCCTGTAATTCTAGCACTCAGAAGGGAGGCTGAGGCAAGAGGATCACCGTAAGTTTAAGGCCCAACTGGGCTACATACTGAATTCAAGGCCAGTCTAGCTTACACAGCAAGTCTCTGTCTCAAAAACAAAACTAACTGACAAAGCAAACAAAACTAAAGATGTATGCTGGGTGTGGTAGCACACACCTGTAATCCCAGCACTTGGGAGGCTGAAGCAGGAGGACTGCTGTGAGTTCAAGGCCAGCGTGGGCTACACAGTGTAATCCTATCTCAAACAAAACGAAGATATAATTTTTTAAAAAATCTACAAAAAAAAAAAAAAAAAAATCTGAACTCTTTGCTGTTGTCTGGCTTGGCCCAAGTACCCAAAGGAGCAATGGCGAACTGGAAAAAAGCTAAGAAGCTCTGCCCAAGGGTCTTCAGAAGCTGCCAGACAACTCTCCCAGTGTCTCCCCCTTCACTCAGGATGTTACGTCCCCATCAGCATCCTGTAACAAAGCTGCTGCTCTCCCAAGGACTTTTGGAGAGGGGCAGCAGGGCACGCTCTGCTACTACCAAAGGCGCAAGTGCTGGAGATATAAAATGGACTCATTTTATTAAATAGTGCAAAGGGTCTCTTTGGCACTGCCCACGAGCTCTTGCCTTTACCATAAATGAGCCGTGCTGACTTGCCCCAGTAGCACAGGAAGAGCAACTGTAGCAAATGCTGAGCCAGTGGCACGTTGAGGGCATCCTCCTCCAGTGTGCAGTGCCCTCCCCTGGTCTGCAGGATTCCACAGGCTGTGCCCCTGGGCCCTGCCCTGCGCTGCAAGCGTGTCCTGTACCAGAGACTGGCGTGCGCGGTCACCTGGAGGAGCTGCGCTCTTTGCTCACGCAGTCGTCCTGTGAGGTGGTGTCCCCGTTGCCCACCATGCTGCACGTCCTCCTCTTCTTCCTGCGGTGCATTGTCCCTTCACCTTCTGACCCCGACTCACACTGGACACAGGAGGAAAACGAGAGTTCAACCAGGACGCAACCATTTCTCCGCAAAACCCACCCACGCCAAGGTGACAGCACGGACAATAAGCACTGTCTCCCAGGAGTGAAGCAGCCACAGCAGCTCGGAGCACTGCCTGGGCGTCCATGCACGGGCAGGCTCCCTAAGAGCTGCAGGTTCCTCAGACATGCAATGGCCACCCCACTGGTCTCTCCTGGCGGCTTATGGGTTTGTAATTGAGACCCCACTGTAAAATATTGTACACTTGGCATTCTGAGATTGCTGTGGCATTTCACTACACCAACAGAATTCAGTGGGTAAAAGTACACAGATACAGCATTTAACAGTTTTAGTTCCCCTCCCCAACCGACAGAAAAGACTGACTCAGTACAGTCAGGGACAGAAAAGACAAAAAATTAAGAGGTAGGCACAGTGGTGTAATCCCAGCACTCAGGAGACTGAGGCAGGGGGTCACCACAAATTTGAGGATAACATAGGCTACAGCCTGTTACACAGCAAGATCCTGTCTCAAAAAAATAAGAGACAAAAATTAGCCGGGTAAGGTAATGTACATGGGTAATTCTAGCACTTGGGAGGCTGAGGAAGGAGGATCACAAGTTCAAGGCCAGCCTAGATTACATAGTGAGTTCAAGGCCGGCCTGGACTACATAGTGAAACCATCTCACACACAAAATAAAAAAGTGCAGGGGGGGTGCGGGGGGAGGATTTCATTGCTAAGGGCTAAAACTCTTTTACCCACTATTTCGTATTAACTTAAACCCTCTTACCCATTATTTCTTACCCACTGCTGTTTACTAGCTGTGTAGTGCTGGGCCATATTACCCTAAATGCCCTGTACCTCAGTGGTTATCTGGCCAGACACACATATGTGAAGCTGTCAAGTGAGCAAGGCTCACCCTTCTGCATGAATAGTGACTCCCACAATCCTCAGTCGGAGGCAGGCTGGTATGCATGGGCTCCTTATGCCCAAGGCCCCTGTGCAGGCAACCCAGACCTCCCTTACCTCAGAGTCCGAGTCGGAGGAGCTGGAGCTGGAGGAGCTGGAGGAGTCACTGGAGCTGTCAGAGGCGATGCCTGTGGATTCCTGGAGGTCAACAGCATCTGCTAGGACTGCCAGCTCAGGGTGCTCCTGCTTTAAGATCCTGAGAGGCAAGAGAAGTTCTGAGCCCAAGAGAGAGGAGCAACACCCACACATGATGACTTAGACTAAAAGTGAGACCTACACAGCTTGGAGACACTCAAGTGTCCAGTGTATCGACTCAAGTGACTCCCGTACATAGCCCCACGCTGGAGCAAGCCCTTGAGGCCGCCTATACTGTTCCAAAGGAAAGCCCCACTTGAGTTCCACACAATTCCCATGGCCTGCCTACGCAGGAGCCAGCTGCACAGATGCATGGGAGGTACTGTTCCCTTGGCTTGGTCTTAGTTTTCTTTCTTTTCCTAGTTTTTGCCTCGTTCCTGAAACTTTCCTAGCTTGTTTTTTTTTTTTTCTTTTAAATCTTTCATTTTCACAGCACAGCACAATGACGCTAGCTGGGTTTAGTTAGATTCTCCTTTTAAGACCAGAAACAATTAGGTTTGTAAGAACTAAGGTGTCAATTAAGAGAGACTGCCCCCTTCCTTCACTTGGGAAACAAACTTATTGACTCCAAGAGCTGCAGCCTTCCCCTGTGGGAATTGAAACTGCTCCACTGTCACCAGCCACAAAAGACCTGCTGTCTGTTAAGGCGCTGCAGTGACCGTGCTGAGCACATGCTGGCCTGCAGGGCAGAGGTGGGCCGCAGGAGCCTGGGGTTCAGTGGAACAGGAGCCACCACCCTTGGCGGCCTCTCAGAGGGAGAAGGTGCACTGAACAAGCCAGAATCCCTCTCTTACCCCGAGAGCTGGTCCCTCCAGGTCAGGGTTGGGACACAGTGGCACGGGGTGGCTGGGGGTGGCTTGCACTGCCGCTGCCCGTGCTGTATCTGGTCTGTGGATAAACAGAGGAGCTAAGTCTCCAGGGCAGTCACCTCACTCACAAGAACTTAAGGCAGTAAGTTCAAATGGGAAGTGCTTCTGGGTAAGAAAAACAAATTACCACAGTAAAACCTAAGCCAAAAGGCTTCTTTTGGAAGGGCTAGCTTTGAAAATCAAACAAGCAAACAGACAACAAAACAAAACAAAAAGAAAAGGAAAAATAATCCCAGTTACAACCATGTTTTGAGTGAGTGGCTTTGAACAAACATACAGAGGCTCCCCCGCCAACTGGAGGCTGGCAAACATCCTGAAAGCTGGCCCTGACTTTGGTGTTCTTGCCCCTGCCGGGGAGGCCCAGCGGCCCCAGCTTCCCAGGCCTCTCTGAGCTCAGCACAGAATAGTGGGGTGGGCTCTTTTTTATCTCTGGGGTAGGAGTTGGAACAAAGCAAAAATGAGAAAGAAGTGCTTCTCACCTATACCATTTCCTCGATAACTTTGGTCTCCCTCTTACCGTCTTGTGCCACACAACAGGGAAGTTGGTGCTGCTGGCAAAATTCTGGGTGATGGCAATGGTGGTGTCAAGATTGAGGACAACATGCCACCAGCCTCCTGAAATCCAACAAATAAACAGTTCAACGGGTTTGGTCCTCTACAATCACTGTGTAACACTGATTCCAGGAAGTGGCCGTTCTTAACCATAAGAGACAGCACACAGGCACACAGTACAGCTGGAGAAAGGTGGCTGACCTAGGGGCTGGAGGTGAGCTGTCTGTGTCAGTAACATGGGACTGTAGCACAGCCACAGCACCCATCCCTTTAGCCACCTTCTATGGCTATTTTCCTGATAGAGGGCAGAGTCAAGCAACTGTGACAATCTGTGCCTAAAATACTTACTCTGGCCCTTTACTGAGAGTTTGAGCCTTAGTAATCTAAAGCTATACTTCTCAAATTTGTAAAGGCAGAAAGTTCTTCAACTTCTGAGAACACCCACCTTAATCACTTTTTGAGTTAGGGTCTCACTATGTAGCCCAGGCTGGTCTCAAACTTACATCGTTCCTCCTGCTCAGCCTCCCAAGTGCTAGGATTAAGTGCCACCACACCTGGCTGTAGTTGTTAGGTGTGGTGGTCCCTGACTCAACTGTATCAAAACCCCACTTTACAGAAATCAGCACAAACTGTTACACTGCAGAGACCCTAGGTAAGTACGATGGATACAGTTACTTTTATCCTGCATAAAAGCTGTCCTGCTTGACATTCAGCTACACAGTGTCAGCAGAGCAGGTCACTTCATGTACCTGACAAGCATAAGACACTTTTTAGACCCATTCTAAATACAGTTCTACTCCAAAAGGACAACACAAATTACTGCAATGAAAGAATGTACCGGGGTGGGGTGTACCTCAGGGGCAGAACACTTGCTTAGCATGTACATGGGCTGGGTTCAGTGCCAGCAAGGGGCTCAGATATACCTGGGACAAAGACAGTCTCTCCTGGTTTTTGTAAGATTTCCAGGGGTTTGAATTCAGGTGGCCACGTTGGAAGCTGTGTCCGGGGATAAATGACATTAAACCACGTAATGGCTTCATCTTGCTGGTTCCCGCCTTCTTCTCGGGTGACCTTGATGAGCTCCCGGGGGGTGCTTGTCGGGAACAGGCACCAGCGCTTGTGGCCCTGCACTAAGGCATTCCAGGCACTGGTTCCCAGAGGGTCAATGTGAATCCCAGTTCCGGAACGTGGCGGCCCCATGACAAACCACCTAAAGAAAGGAAACAAGACGTGAAGGGGATTTTAACTATAGGTACGTGGCACAAAAGATTAAATTCTGCTGGGCGTGATGATACACAGGGCGTGATGGTAAACAGGCGTGGTAGTGCACGCCTATAATCTCAGCACTTGGAAAGCTGAGGCAGGAGGATCCCTGCCAAGTTCAAGGCCAGCCTGGCCTACACAGTGAGTTCAAAGGTCAACCTTGAATTACACAGGGAAACGCTGTCTCAAAAAAAAAAAAGACTAAGTTCTTACTACATATTACACAATGTATTATTGCCATTTGGGACACTATACAAATTTTGGTACACAGAAACACTAAGTGAATTGTGCATGGAATGATTTCTAACATAAAAAAAGTCACTGAAAGAGTGTAATCGCTGAAACTTCCCCAAGAGATCAGTCAGTCACCTTCAACCACACATGTAAATCACCTGGGGAGTCTGACTAATTCTGATGTCCCAGGGCACCCCAGGCCAATTAAATCAGTCTCCCCACAATAGCAGCCCAAGGTTAATGTGCAGCCACGGAAGAACCACTCACTGTCGGGAAGATCGGCCGACTGAACTCTGGCACCAGAAGCTGTTGGGGGTGAGATTTTAGGCACTGAACAACAAAATATTTTACCTGTAAGGAGGCCTGCGCTTCTCCCCTGCATACTGGAATAGGTCATCGGTGAAAAACTTGGGCACCTTGTAGTCTTCCAAAAGTTTCCTTCTCTTGGGGTGTTCACCATAGCTACTATCGAAGATGTAAAGCGGGCTGTCATCCCGAGTGCTCTCCATGTACTCGATGTAGTATTTCATCTTCATCTTTACCGAATAGCCATCGTTATCCTCACCACACTTGAACTTCTGGTTGCGGTATTTCCTTTTTAGGCGCTCCAGAGTCCATTTCTCCTGCGCAGACCAGCCTTCCTGGGCATTCAGCAAAACCACGGGCTTGTAAGGTCTTTCATATCGCTCCACGAATTCTTCCACGGACAGCTGTAAAGCGTCTGCCCTTTCCACGTTATCCTAAGGGAATTAGAAAAGATCTCTCTAGTTAAAAAATTTAAAAGTCCGATGCAGATAAGGATGTCTCCCAGGGCCAATTAGCAGTGACATACACCGCGGCAATGAATGAGACTGGCTCCCCCCGGGGGGGGCGGTACGTGCGAGCGAGCACGTCGCATCCGGAGCCACAGCATCTTCCACGTGTGGGTTTTGACAGCCGGGTCCCCCCGGGACCCCGCCGCCCGAGGGGCCAGAGGCGACCCCGCCACCTGGTGGTAGAAGGGAGCCCGTCCGGCCGTCCGGGCCTCGGGCGCCCCGAACTCAGCGAGGCCCGCGCTCCGGCCGCCGGGGAAGGTGCGGGCGCCCGGCCCCGCGCCCCAGCCCCGCTCACCGCCACGGCCGCCGGGTTCAGCGGGAAGCTCTCGTAGTAGTTGTGTCGGGTCCAATCCACCGAGTCCTTGAGCTCTGGCCGCGCACTCCGCTTGGCCTCGCGGATCCGCTTCTTGCTCTTGTGGTTCATCCTGCAGGGTCACCAGCTGCTTTCGCGACGACCTGGGTGCAGCTCGATTCCTGCCACTAAAACGCCCTTCCCGACCAGGGCGGCGGCGACGGCGAGGCGACAGCTAAATGCCCTTCGCTCCGGCCGGGCGCGTTTAAAGCCGCCTTCCAGAAAATTCACTCCCAAGCCTCCTCCCGAGCCTCGGGTTGGGCGTGAGGCAACTGTTCTCCCCGCCCCACGGAGTCTCGCGGCCCGCCATTGGCCTCCGCCCCTCCAAGCTCCACCCTCACAAGAGCCCAGTGGGAGCCATGTTGAGAAGGTCGCGTCTTCGGGGGGGGGGGTGTGAGTCGTACTTTCGCCCCGCCCTCTTACGACACTTCCGGCGTGCGCTCCGCTTCCGGTTGCGCTCCGCTTCTCTGCTGCCCTCTTCTGGCTCGGTTCCGCTAGGGGCCTCGCTGTTTTTAGATTGTTCCGTTTGGTCAGCTTCGGCTTGGTATGGCGGTGCGTGCGGCTGCGGGATCGCCCGCGCAGGGCCTTTTCCTTCTCGTGGTTTGGCCCTAGCAGTCGGGTGGGGCGGCGCAGACCCATCTGGCGTACCGGAGACTGCGGCCCGGCGTCCCGCCTACGCACCCTGGCAGCCCGGCGTACGGCTGGCTCGCGGGCCTCCGACGACCCTGCGGGCCAGCTCGGTCTCCGAGGCCATGTGGCCCGGGCCCAGCGCTTCCGGTTCTCGAGGGAGACGGGCTCGGGAGCTGAGGGTGCTGTGCTGGAGATCCGCGTCCCGCAGGTGCGTGCAGTGCCCTGTGCGGTTCTCGGCTGACCCGGGTGGCGAAGCGGGTGGGTCCCTCAGCTCCGCGGCTTCCAGCTTTAGGTTGGCGCTCAGAGCCGAAAGTTTGGGATGGAGCCCTTTGGCGGATTCAGTGTCTTAGTAGGACGGCTGAGGACCGAGCGAGGAAAGGGTCTTCTCCAGGTCGGATAGATTTTCTGTGGGGAACCCTTGTTGAAAGGGTTCTCAGTTCATCGTTTTTTTGTTTTGTTTTGTTTTTCCGGTTTTGAGGATTGATCACAGGGACTCGGGCATGCAAAGAGCTCTACCTCTGAGGTGCAGCCCCAGCCCATATTTCTCTGGGTGCCCAAATAAAGTTTCTTGGGTTGGCTCTGGCTTCTTTCTTTGAACTCACAGCTGGCAGGGCTTTATGCGTTCTGCTTTTTAAGAGGCAGAATCAGTTTGAGAGGAGTTTTTTTTTTTTTTTTTTTTTGTCTTTTTGAGACAGGGTCTCACTATGCAGTTCAGACTGGCCTTGAGCTCACTTTGTAGCCCAGGCTGGCCTCAAACTTCCAACGATTCTCCTGCCTCAGCCTCCCGAGTGCTGGGACTACAGGCGTGTGATACCACACCCAGCCAGTTTGAGAGGGTTAAAAGGCTGGAGTAGAACTCATTTCCGGTAGCCTTCAGGCGGCTTCACGTTATAATACTCTAGAATCTCTAGATTTAGGGATGTGTGTGAAGATTTTCGCCGTGAATAAGGACCCCGTTTTCAGTGCCCAAGTCTGCAAAACTCCCCCTGGTTAGACAGCCTTCACTGAGTGTTGTACACCGGCCCCTACACTTAATGCCTAGCATCGTGTTTCCTCTCCCCTCATACTGGGGAAAGGGCCTGTGGACTGTGCTATATCCCCAGCCATTTATTTATTTACTTTGTTTGAGACAGGGTCTTGCTCTGTAGTTCAGGCTGGCCTTGAATTCAAAGCGATCGTCCTGCCTCAGCTTCCTGAGTGCTGGGATTACAGGCATGTGCTACCACACCTGGCCTTTATATTTTGAGCCAGGAGGGCCTCACTAAATTGCCCAAGCTGGACTTAAACTTCTGGTCCTCCTCCGTCAGCCTCCCAGAGTCCTGGGATTGGCTACTTTCCCCCTTGTAGCCTTTTCTACTACCACACCAGGAGCGGTTTTATTGCTAATACTGGCTGCTTTGTGCCTTGCATTGAGTATCCCTTATCACTTCATGGAGACAGTATTTTGCAGTTGAGGAAACCAAAGCACTGACAGGTTAAGTAACCTGTGTGAGATCACGCAGCTAGTAAAAAATTACAGACAAGAGTTTCAACCCAGGTAGGTTTATTCAGGATATGAGCTGTGATGTGTTGCCTCAAAGTGGCATTAGCTCATGATTCTAGCTGCCCAACGCCTTTGAGGGCTGCCCTCCTTCCAAGCCTCAGATTCAGCTTTGCTCACACCTGTCCCGGGATGCCTTCCTCGAACTGTGCACTCTGCTTGCCCTTTAGCATACCTTGCAAGTTGTACTGTGTCCAGTAACTTCCTGTGGCACGCAGAATAAATTCTTAACTTAGTATGTGCTCAACAAGACCCACCGATCAGGTCCCTGCTGTACCTCTTCAGAGCCATCCCTTACCACACCTAGGGTTGTTTGTCCAGCCAGGAGGACCTTTGAATCTATCTGCAACAGCCATCTCATGGTCATCTCACCCCATCCCATTATGTTCTTAACCCTGGTTTATTATTTGTGGCTTTTATCGCTTAATCAAAAAATCTCTTACTTGCTTATTTGTTGCCTTTGTCCGGTAGGATACTGAGTGCTCCGTCCCCAGCCTAAGAGTGGCTCTTGGTTCACAGGTACTGTTGAGGTGCTTGTGGAATGCATTGAGAGCTATGAAGTGTTCATCATAGTGTGTTGCAGTTCTGTATGCCTCACGGCTTGGGACCCGGAGAACAGGGTTGTCATTTTTCTAATGGATGCCAGGGCCTGACAATGGTTACTGTACAGATACTCCAGTTTCCAGCAGGCTTTTGTGGCATCCATACAAAAACACTTTTTCCAGGTCCTGCATCTCCAGTATGGCATGTACGTCTGGCCTTGTGCTGTGGTCCTGGCCCAGTACCTCTGGTTTCACAGAAGAGCTCTGCCGGGCAAGGCTGTGTTAGAGGTATGAGGGTCCCTGCTCCCAGAGTACCGGGTTATGTTCAGAGTTGGTCTGCATGCTCTTTACGACTTGTTTGAAAGTCGGTGGTGTAGCTACCACTCGAAAGGTCTGTGAGCTAAAGAAAGCTTTTATATTTTTAAGTGTTGAAGTGATAGACAAGTAAGTGGCACACAAAACCTAAAATATTTAGCTAGACTTTTAGTTTGATGACTCCTAAAGGAAGCCTTTTGACTTGAGTCTTTCCTAGGGTGGTGGTTGATGGGGTCATCCAGACTGTACTAGAGCACTTAGTGCTTCTCACAATTGGGCTGCCATATGTATGTAACAAAAGACCAAAAATTGGGTAGTTTTTTTTTTGGAGGGGGGGTCCCAGGAACTGAACTCGGGTGCTGGGGAGGTACTATGCTATTGAGCCTACATCCCCAGCCCTGGATAGCTTAACAAATTTCTTAAGAGGTCTAGGGGCTTGGAAATTCTAAGATCAAGACCCTAAACTTGGCTCATAAGACATGCCTCCTGTTTTCAAGGTAACACTCCAGGGCTCTGAACCCCCCAGACAGGCCTCTTTATTTCACTGCAGTCGTCCTGCCTCAGCTTCCGGAGTGTTAGAATAATGTGCGTGCCATGGTGCCTGGCTTCCATGGCTTTTATAAGGGGCTATAATCCCAGAGCACCTCCCAGAGGCCCTCCATCACAGTGGTATTTAGGTTGGCACGAAACATTGGCCATAAGCATAGTGCTTTCCATTTTAAAGGCTGACATTAGTCTTAAAAGCTCTCTTTTTTGTTTTCTCACCATGTTATCTCATCTGGGTTTTCTGAAGGCCTGGAAAAATCTTAAGCATGTGTTGTAGAAATAGTACACTTTTGTGCTGGTTCTTAGCTTAAAGTATTCCTGCTAAGACATTCACAAAAATGTTTCTATGCCCATTCATCCCCAAACTAGGGGCAACTTTTTTTTTTTTGGTCCAACTCAGGACCTGGCACTTGCCAGGCAGGGGCTGTGCCACTGAACTATATATCCCTGGCCACCTTGTTCTTCTATGAGTGTATCTGTGACCAAATTTCTTACTTAGTATGTTTACAAAATTCTTACTTTCCAGGCCCAGTTAGAAAACCTTTAATAAGGCCGGGTGTGGTGGCTCATGCCTGTAATCCCAGCACTCAGGAGGCTGAGGCAGGACGATCACTGCGAGTTCGAAGCCAGCCGAGGCTACAAAGTGAGCTCAAGGCCAGCCTGAACTGCACAAGCAAGACCCTTTCTCAAAGACAAAAAAAAAACCAAAAACACAAAACCTTTAATAGAAGGCTACAGACTTGTGTCTTGCTCTAGAGTAAAGCAATTAACTTCAGGACAACAGCAGCTAGCTATACATGCGTGTTACCACTGCTGGCATCTTCTGAAATTGGCAGCTTTTAGAGCATGCTCAGAGGGCAGGGATATAGCTCAGTGGCATAAGCGCCTGCCTGGCAAATGCAGGGTCGTGAGTTCGATTGCTTGTACCAAAAAAAAAGCATGCTCAGAGCTGAAAGCCATGACGTAAGGCAGCGTCTCAGAACTGCCTTTTGTGCTGTAACTGAACTGCCCAGGATGCATTATTGACATTGGATGCCATGCCCTTTCAAATGGAAACTGGTGTAACTTAGTTTGTACTTCTTGACCCAGTAACTCATCAGAAAGGAACTTTTACCTGATGAATGTAAAGCCTAAGCTGAAAAACTCAAAAATATACAGATGCTGCCCTCCAACCTAGGATTCACTCTGCTCCACTCAAACCTTGTACGTTTTCCTAGAACTACTTGCCATTAGCATGTCATGTTACACTTGTTAATGCAAGGACAGTTATCAAAGATGAAGTTCTTTGCCATCCCAAGTAATTCTGAAATGCCACCTTCCACATTTTATTTTTAACTAGATTGGAGCTGGAGTGAGCCTTCCAGGAATCTTGGCTGCAAAATGTGGTGCTGAAGTGATACTATCGGACAGTTCAGAGTTGCCTCACTGTCTAGAAATCTGTCGGCAAAGCTGCCAGATGAATAACCTGCCACAGGTGGATGTTGTAGGGCTGACTTGGGGTCACATATCTTGGGATCTTTTGACTCTACCACCACAAGATATTATTCTTGCGTCTGATGTGTTCTTTGAGCCAGAAGGTAAAACTTTAGTTCACTAGTAAGGCTGGGCCAGAGATACTATAAAGTCCACTTAAAAGCAATGCTTTCTCCTTAGATTTTGAAGACATTTTAAGTACAGTGTACTTTTTGATGCAGAAGAACCCCAAGGTTCAGTTGTGGTCTACCTATCAGGTTAGAAGGTATGAGTAATTCTGATTTACTTACAATTTCATTAAAAGTTACAAGGGCAGAACAGGCATTATGCTTTAAATTTTTTTTTTTTTTTTTTTTTAAGTGCCAACTGGTCCCTTGAAGGTCTGCTCTACAAGTGGGATATGAACTGTGTCCATGTTCCTCTGGAGTCCTTTGATGCAGATAAGGAAGATATAGCAGAATCTGCACTTCCAGGAAGACATACTATTGAAATGCTAGTCATCTCCTTTGGAAAGGGTCTCTGAATTATACCCATAAGCAGTTACCGGATGTCAATACCAGAATCAGGCCACTTTAGCTTCCTGGGAAAATAGAATGAGCTTGAAGATGGACAGATCTGCTGGTCTTGGACTGTGTCAACTAGACAGCACTAATGGGATAACATCAACCATTCAAACAATTAAAGCACAAAGTGTAGTAAGAACTTGGATTTTCTTAATTATTAAGCGTAAGTCAGACTGAGAAGGGGCTACTCACCTCCCCTAAGTGCTAGCTTGAAGCAATGATTTCAGAACTGGCATTTCTACTTTAATTAACATAGAAAAAGCGGGTACTGAAATGTCTTTATGCTGTATATATAGCAAGTGACTCAAATTGCATAGGTCTTTCAAATAAATGGGAAAAGAGACGGAGACTTTCTATTAACATCAAAACATTTTAATTGAACTACAGAAACAATGGTTATAGTACAGAATATTCAGAAGCAAAGATACACCATGTTTTAAGTACTTACAAAGTTACAAACCATTTGTTTCCTTAACATTTTTCCGTATTTTAAGTTCGTACATGAAGATGATCAGATTTACCATTTTGGGGGAGTAGGGGGAAAAAGGTGTATTTATCACCAGCTAGATGTGCTCACTGTATGCTCCGTTATTTATATGCAAGGCCCGGGTGACTGGAAGTGCAGTTGACAGGCATTTTAATAAACTGGACAGCCATTTGTTTCTGCACGACAAGGCATCTTTACACAGGAGCAATCGGGAGAAAACAGGAAACAGCCAAGCACTCTGCACTGCAACACGCCACCTTAACAGCTAACCAGCATTACTCAACTGCTACACAACTGCGCCTAGTGCACAAAAATACATAAGAGAAGAGATTAGAATTGTGTTTGGTAAACAATCCTTTCAAAAAATCAAGTCTTTTCACCCTGAAAAGTCTTTATACAAATTTGGGTTCAGATTACCATTTAGGTCTGAAAGTAAGTAACATATAAACAAATTTACACCAACTTTTGTAGGTTTTTAATTTTAAGGAATGAAGGCAATGTTGAGTCAATCTCTTGACAGCTTTAGGCTGTGTGTAATGGCTGCACATGTTTCCTTAAAAGTCAGGAGGCCACAAATTAGGTTACCAATCTGTTTAATTTCAAACAAAAAAAGTCAGCACTATATAAACAAAATGAAGTTTTACCTCAAATATCCAATCCAATAATGAAATCTGAAGTCGTTCACCTCACTAAATTACAAGAAATTTGAATAACAGGAACAAAATGGCACATAAAATGAAGTTTGCCACCTGAGGCAAAGTTAAAACAAGTAAAAAGTTAGACAAATGTTACAAAATAACCTTTTCAATAGCCAGTTGCTTGTTCCAAGGACTCCTCGATGGACCGATGGACTGAGTTCGTGGTCCTTTCCCCCAAAGTCCTCTGTTATGCTGCTTGCCGATTTATCTAGGTTTGAAAGAAAAGAAGTTCAGCTTACCTTCTTCCCTTATAAGAAAGTACCAAAGTGCACATGGTTTCAGTTCTCACGAATGTACTTACTAAGGCTCTGGTGAAACAAATAGGTTATAGTAAGGTTCCACCCAGCCATTAAGAGGTTTTGAAAGGCCCAATTAGGAAATTTTCAGAATCAGTATTTACAAGTTTGAATTTACGGTTTCTTGGCCAAATTAACCAAGGTGAAAGAAAAAAAGGTAAGGGGGGGAAAAGAAAAAGTGGGGGGTGGGGAGGTGTGTATCCAAACAAAAGCACTAAGGAATTACTCTACATCTTAAGAAATCCTTTTCAAATGAAATATTTGGCAATCGAGAAATGTTTTTATCCGAGCTATTTAGGGCCCTTTCCTTTTAAAAAATAGGACCAAACGATTTGAGAGTTAAAGACACACTATCCTTTCCCCACCCAGTGCAATACCTGTAAACTTTCTTTTGGGGTTCCAAAAGTTCATTGCTTCTTAATTGCAATTCCTCTGCCACATCCATTAGAATACGCTGTCCCAGTCAGTACAACAATAGTTGAACTGATCGTTTTTTTCTCTACCAGGATAGTGCATCTTTAACGTTTAAAGACAAACCTGCTCCAATACACGCCCACAGAAACTGGTCCCTGGAGGATCAGCCAAATCAGTTAAAATCTGCAATACTGGCCAATATTCTTTTATCAAACAGGAGACCGCAGCTTTAAAGGGGGAAAATGCAGACGTTGGATAAAAACAGCAAGAAATAATCATTTTCATTAATAGGTCTCAAAACAGTTTACGAAACAGCCATTATTATCTAAGCTTAACACACATCCTTTCTGCAGACCCCTCTCTTCATTTCCGTATCGCTCCCAAAGCCGAGTACGTCCAGCGCGGCGCGCGGCGCCGGGGTCACGTTACACTACACGGCCACGACCTGCCCCAAACCCCACGCGACTCCAGGCTGCGCCGGGCCCGCAGACATTACCGTGCGCTTACGACGACACCGCTCCTTCCTCCTCGGGGGACTTGGGGGGGCTCTTGGATCGCGACCTGGACTTCGACTCCCTCTTGGACACGGGGGGAGGACTCCGGGACCTGGACCGGGACCGGGACCGCGACCGCGACCTGGACACCGACGAGGACTTGGACTTGGACCTTCGCGCCGATCTGGACTTGGAGGTGGAGCGCGAGCGCGAGCGCGTGCGGGACCGAGACTTGGAGCGGCTGTAGCGGGATCGGCTGCGGGAGCGGGGGCGGCTGCGACTCCGAGAGCGGCTGCGGCGGCGCCTCCGCGGGCTGCGGGCGGGACGAGAGGCGCTTAGCCCAGCCGAGCCGGGCCGG